AGTAATTAAAGAATATTCTGCATGAATATTTCATGTAGAATAAAAACACACAGATACAAGCAATCCTGGAGAAGACATTTTTCTGGTGTTACCTTAAAAAAAAGGTATGAGTGGCTTGGGCTGTAAAGCTCTACCCCGTTTTGAAAGGCACCAAGGCTTTTGGAGAGATGTGTATCCTAAATAAAGATGTACTAGGCTCACTTTAATGTGGTAAGAACTTCTTTAATTGAATGCAAGTGTGATCTCTGTTCAAATAGTGACATCAATAGGCAGGGCAGAAGACAAAGATTTTTTCTGAAACCTTTGTAAGGTCCTTGGGGAAAGAGGAGTTCAAATGTACAAGACTTCTCAAATACAATAGTATTGTTTCAGTTGTACAGCAGAAAGAAGGGGCAACGTGGAGAAACCAATGATAACATCACAAGCAATCGTGAAGTAATAGTCAGCTTTGGCACTTGTGTTACAGGTAATGTGTTGTGTGCATCAGCAGCTGGGCAGCCACCCAGTGCCACAGATTTGTTTATAAAGATGATCACCTAAATAACTACTGTATTTCTATCATGAGTAAGGCTGCTGAGAATCCAGTGGTTCATTAAAGTGAGATACTGTTTTCATTATTTTCAGAGGCTGATTGAAAAGCTCATTAGCAAGAATAAGGATAAGCCAGAATGCCATCAATCAGCCTGACAAGAGACAAGAGCGAGTCTTTAAATACATTAATAGACAACTTCTGTTTATTTGTTTTTCAAATCCTGACGCGTTATAGACAGTCAAATGGCTTGAAGCGCACATTTTAACTCAAAAAATATGACCCTAATTTTTATCTAGCGTCTCTTGACAACACGGGCGAGAGAGCACACCCTTTGGAAACCTGAGGAGAGGGAGCCCATTTCATTCCTTTTCTGTAATAGGGGCCACGAGTATTTCAAGATACAGCTGAAGAGGTGTTTAGAAGCTGCAGTGTCACAGGCTGTAATCAAAACCTTTACTATGCAATTTGCAACAACTTAATAAAAAAAGTTACAAAATACCCCTCCCCCGAGAAAGTTTTAATTTAGCGAAATGTCCTGTATAAAAGTGGGCCACTTCTAGTTGGCTTAAAAGAAGTCCATAGCTGTTGGTCTCTTCTTCACTGATGTTGTAAGCTGTTTCTTTGTTTGAAGGACTCCTACCGGCGTACCTGCAGACAACTTCAGTACTCCATGAGGAGGCTTTTGTTCAGGATTGAAAGCTACCCGAGAAAGTCCTTCTGGGCTCACTAAGATACTCTTGTCTGTCTTTTTAAATTCTGTTAAATAAAAAAAAAAAAAAAAAAAAAAAAAAAAAAAAA